CCTCTGTGGGATCTGTGACTCACAGCTCTGCCTCCTCACAGCTTCCCGACTGCGGGGACCGTGCCTGATGCGGCCAGTGCTGTGTCCCCGGGACGGCCTCAGTGCTGAGGCTCCGGGTCAATATTTGTGGAATGAATGAGTGACAACAGCAGCCATACGTGGGCTGGCACACACAGGCTTCCTCTTGCTGCCAGGGAACCGAACCCTTACAGGATATAGAAAAAGCCTGGGGCACACCCCCTACAAATATCAATATTGATTTTCTCTGAGCCACATGATTACAAGGGACTTCTTTCTTCCTTACACTTTGCTTTCCCTCAAGTTTTTAAAAACCAATAAGCATGTAACAACCTTTCCTTATCAGAAAAAGGTAAGTGATTTCAAAATACAGGGTGGGGTAAAAGTAGGTTTCCAGTTGTTTGTATGGAAAATAATACAATAACTGATAAATAATAATACAAGCATAAATGCTATTTTGCATGCTCACAACTGTAAACCTACTTTTGCCACACTCTGTGTTATATCAACAGTCAAAACACTATGTCAGCCTCAGGAATGAGGATCAATCTTTAGATCCATGACTTTGGGATTTACCCAAGTAAATAAAACAATCTTTTTTATTTATTTATTTGTGAGCTGTAACCTCTGAGTAACTTCAAGGACACCTTTTTGTTAATAAATATTTCTGAACTTTAGTTCGTGGCATGGGCTTCTAGTGGCAACTATAAATTTCATTTATTTTAATTTGTCTTTATTGGCAGCTGTAAGTTGACTATGGAATTGTACCTTGGGGTGGCCTCTAGCCGACCAAGGGTGATTCTTCTAATCAGAAAGGCCCAATGCAGTCAGCAGATGGGGGCAATGTTCGCCCCTCGTGTTTTATAAAAACTGGAAAATGCTGACACGTTTGCAGGTTTCAATTCTCCAAAATGGACCTGTGTCCCCACATCCCTTTTTAAATCAGATCTCCTCTCCCAAATCCATTTAGGCTCTGGGGAGAGAGGGTTTGTCTAAGAGAAGACAGAAGTGCCCATCAAGTCTGTTCACAAAACATTTGGCAACTCATGCATCATCTGTTCCCTGGGGAGCCAGGCCGAGCCTGTGCCGCTGCAAACGCAGCTCATTTCTTCCTAAATCACAGCTGCTGGCCAGGCCGACTCTTTAAACTCAGTCCAGGGGGCAGGACGCAGTCAATTATTTTTTATGCAATGAGTGCAACTCCATTTCTGTCTACGTAACAATTGTCCTCATTCGTTTCCTTTTCCAAACAACTTAACATCAGTGGCTTCGAATCTCACCTCCGAGGATTCTTCTCAGTCTCCGTTCTCTGTGACAGCAATAACAATCGTGGTGTCGTTTGTGGAGCGCCAGGGGGCGGGCACTTTACCTGCGTGTCTTTCTGAATCCCCACAACAACCCTGTGGTATGGTCCGTCGTTTGTGGACAGGGAGAATGAGCTCAGAGTGATGAACTCGATTAATTCGCTCGAAGTCACAGGGCCAGAAAGTGGCCTAATGAGATCCAAACCCAGGTCTGTCTATCCCTGAAGGCCGTGCTATTGAAAATCACAATAGTTTTCTAATATCACAGTCAGATTCAAAACAGAGCTCTCTGTCTCCATGACAGCCAGATGGGAGATAAGAC